AACGTTTAGGGATCATTTTGAGATCACATGCCTATGGCAGATCTGATCTGTAAGCAGCTTACTGAGTTCTTTGGATGCCTCGTCTTTGCTCTTTGGGCAAGTTTTTCCCCTTTCTCTCTCACATTATGTTAAGCTGACCAGACTGAGAAAATGAGACCCTATCTGAGACAAAAGGCACTCTGGCCATGTTTAGTTTACTTATAGCAACACCCCTCTCATTGTCACCTTGAACACGCTAATTAGTTGTTTCCCTTCTTTTAGATAGATAGAGATAGATCTTTAATTTGTCATTGTACAGGTACAACGAAATTACAATGAAGTTGAGTTGTGATTGTTTTACTTTAGTTTAGGATTGGCTTAAACAGATTTGGTTGTTCTGTTTTATTTCTCTAAAACCTTGCCTGATCTTATATAATTTCATAATGTGAGAGAGAAAGTTTATAACATGGATGTCATGAATATGGGGTTGTTATTTTCTGTCCGTTATTGGAAGTAAGGAACATGACAGCTCTGCATATAGGATAACATATGCAGACACATATTTCTAGTCCATTGACTCACATGTTAAGACATTTAAGTGTTTCCCTTTAAGTGTTTTCGCGTGGAGTTTAAAGCTTTTCTCATGTCTTCACAGTGAGTTGAACAGGAAAGCAAAAGCTGTGAAAAACAGCAGTGCAAAGATTGAGCTTCTCGGTTCATATGACCCAGAGAAGCAGCTCATCATCAATGACCCGTATTATGTAAGTATTCAAGTAAATTCTCTGGTATAATGAAGATATTTGACATAATGACATTCTGAGCGTTATTATAGCAGCAAACATTTTTGAAAAGATCAATTTAAGCTCTTTGTGACACATCATTTAATGTCATCAAGTGAAAAAACGTTTGCCACGTCAACGCTGAGAAAATGCAAAGCGGGGTTTACTTGATCAAAGCTGGTTCTTACACCGCAATGTCGGATACCTTCAGAAATCACAATTGCATATAGATGTTCTGAATGGACCCGATATATCTCAAATATGGTGCACATATGAAGATATTCTCTCTCCTGGTAGACATTCATATTGATGCGCTCATTTTTCAGGTAAAAAGTGATAAATAGTTGAGGCATCATGAGAAAGGTAAGCAAGTACAGTTCAGAATCTTTTTTCCATGTCAATTCAGAAAAACTCATTCAAAGCTGGCAGTAAGGTTTTGTTCATGTAGGGTCCCAAACCTCATAGTTAGCAGCTAATCGAAATACACACTTTTCATGGCCTTTAAATCTAAACAAAAAACGTATAGTGATAGTGCATGCTTTATGTAAGCTGTGTCTGGAAATGACACAGAAAAATGTATGTTTCCTTTCTGCAAAAGCTGTGTACCTGTTCCTGACCACAGTTTTGGACAGGACATGTCTTCCTTCAGGTGCATGTGGAAGCTCTGACAATTTAATCTCAGCTGGGAGAAATGGGATCATGTCCAGGCACGTTTCATGAAACAAAACACAGGGGACTGAAAGTATGGCAGCACTTTTTCACTTGCCTTTTCATAAACTATAAGTGTAATAAATTATTAAATCCTCTAGCCTATTACACACTAGCATAAATCGATTTCATTTGATTTGCTTGGACGTCCCTATCAAAAGTATTTTCTGGTTCAGCTTGGTTTGCATTGTCCCACTCTTTGGTTCACTCTTCTATTTTGTCCCTAACGTCGTTTCTCTGCGGTTGAAAATCCTGCCACATGATTTGGACATGCTGCTTTTATCCTGAGCGTTATGAGAGCGAAAAACAAGAATGGGAGAAGTGGAAGGGTTAAAAGTGAAATAAATTGTTAAGTGATGATATGCTGCCATCACATGTAGCTCTTAAAAACAAAAAGTCTTGACTTTGGATGCTCAAACTTTAGATACTTTCAAAACATATTGAAACAAATTCTTAAAGTATTAATTTCCTATGTGGGCTTGTTGAAACATGTGCCGCTTAAGATGTTTGCCAAGTAATTATGAATTTATGCTCAACTGCATGCTGTTTTACATTTAGTTGGAACATAAAAGAGTCATCAAACTATCAGTGATGTGGCTGGGCCGGAAGGTCGCGGTGAACCACAGTTGATGAGAGTTTTATTTTTTGTGGCAGATTTTGGCTTTGAACAGAACTTTTCTTTCTGTGGCAATTAGCATGAGTGTGTTCTTACAGCTATGTACCGAAGAAGGGATGAATGAAAACCCTTTACACTCGGTGTGGTTCAGATACATGACAGACAGACTCCCTTGGAGAGTAACCACATGGCATGACAGTAAAGTGAGTAAAGGGGACCCAGACATTCACTGTTAATGTGTCAGAGTAAATGAACACAGAGGCTTACTGTATTAATGTGATTATAATGATTTTACAGAATTACTTCTTATAATTGCCATTTTTTTTGTTTTCTTACAAGACATTAGTTTCATCCTTTATTACCATTAGAGACTTTAAAATCCCCTGACTACTTTCTTTCTTAACAGAACTTGATTCCTTGTTATGCCTGTCACATAATCACCTCCAGATCAGTTTACAGAATCCAAAACATTTCGGCTGTGTCTGTTTTTCTGCAATAATAGTGCCATTTTTTTTTTTATAGAAATAGGAACATTTTAATCCAGACTGAAATACTTTGACAACCGTTGGATGGATTTGTTTGGAATCTGGTTCAGACTTTCATGTTCCCCAGAGGATGAATTGTAATGGTTTCAGTTTTCTGACTTCTTATTTAGTCCCATCATCAGGTCAACATTTCAATACTTTGGTTTACAACCAAATAATTACAAAACTAACGGTATATTGTGTTGCTATTGCTAATAGGCTAACCTATCAGTAATCACAACATAGGAAGTTTTCTATGGTTACAAAAGGGTTTTCCAAAATGTTCTGAAAAAAGCCAACCAATTTTAACCTTAAAAAAATGAATTCAGAGAAAATGTTATTTGCCAAATTTCAAAGCTCACGTTAGGGGTACTGTTGAAAGCTCTGGGATGTGTTTTCTTCACCACAAAAAAGATTTGGAAGGTGAGCTGAAAATTATTGAATGTTGAGTAAGATACTGACAATTTATCATGTGTTATATTTCTGTTGTGTGTTTTATTTTTGGATATCTGTTTCTCAGCTACTAAAAAAATCAAACAGATGCATGTAATGATTCAGCTCAGAACTTGGCTGAAACGCGTTTTAATATATCCCTTTTTCCGTTTTATCTATCAGGGGAGTGACGAAGACTTTGAAAAGGTGTATGAACAGTGCGTACGTTGCTGCACAGCATTCCTGAAGATGAACTCCTAACAACATCCGACCTTAAATGACCTGTGCAAAATCAACCAAGTATTCTTCAACTTCGTTACAAAAGCACTAGTCAGTATATTGTAACACTTGTGTGAGTGTCACTGGAAGACCAGCAGGAAACATTTGTTTCAGTGTTGTAAATGTTATACAAACCACACATTGTGTTTATTTAATGCTGCCTAGATGAATTTGTAGAAATGAGGTGAATAAAGGAATAGATAAATCAGTACGACTACCAGAGACTTATTTATACACACAAATCATTAAACTTATCAATTTAAGTATGTTAAATATGTCTGAAGATATCCTGTTGACGATAATGCATGACTAGACATCTCTGAGGTCAAAGGCCGACACGGGTCAAAGCTAATGTTAGCCTAAATGGTAATCTTCCTGGATATTCTATTAGATGCTGCGTGGTTAGGTTATGTCCTTTGCACAGCTTGTTTGGTGTATGGCTTCTTTTATCTGACCTAATAAGACAAGATTCTTTTTTACAAATATTAGATATCAAATATATCTGATTTAAAAAAACCTGACCTGTTCACACTCAATTCCTTTTAACATTCCTCCTTTTAATAGTTACTAATCCAACTGTGCAGAAACCATCACTTTTTAAATGGCGATTATCGCATGAGTAAGGACTCTTCAGAGCCAACACAAGTGATCATTAATTGGGATTTATCGACGCTCCTTACACCACAGCAAGGGGCAGAACATCAAGAAGGGATGTTAATCATTAGACAAGAATGGAATTTTGATTTAGGGAGGCTTACTTGTCAAGCAGGGCGTTAACTGGGAAGGGACTTTCATGGAAAGCAGAGGTACATTGAGTGCATTTGTATGTGGTCCAATCCCATCTGTGCTTTATTTAGTGATGAAATAAAGACCATAAGGAAAAGTAATTCCATATGTCTCCTGTAGTCCAAATGAATAATGGCCATGAAGTCGACTTAAAGAAAGAAATTGACAACTTTGGACACATGCTTTTAGCCCCTTGCAGAGCGTTAGTTGAGAAGGTCGATACCGGTAATATGCTTAATATAAAATGTACACTCAAAATAAGCGAGTAGCCTGGCTCTGTCTACCAGCTATCCTAAGGCTCAAACATCACATTTGAATGAATACACAAGGCATAATCTATAGAAATTACCATTTGTTTTTTCACATGGGTTTATCTCCCAGATATCACACTGGAAAACATTCATAGACTACAGTGTCAGCAATGGTCATAGATGTGGGCATTTTTAGGGAAGTCAGTAGAAGGTCTAAGGGTTAAGAAGTAATGAAGACATTAAGTGATATTGACTTAACATGTTATTTCTCTTTGGTTTAAAAAACAAAAGAACTTGGTGTTTGCTATTTCCATAATAAAAAATGACGGCTAAGGTCTCTGTTGCAGGTCCTAAAGTGTAATCTCAAAACATAGAATACAAATTAAGACAGTTTAATCAGAGTCTATTGGCAAAACAAAAAATGGTTGTGTTGCATTTTGGCTCTTTAAAGTTAAAGGAACCTCTTTTTTTTCTTGTGAGTATTAATGACTGAAATGTGCTGAACTGCCGTGGGAAGCTCTGCAGATCTGAAGTCACAGGACTCGTTCCAGTCATGTGTTCATTCAGGGAGCATTCCACATGTCAAGACGGGAACATAAGAGAAAGTCGTGCACAAAACAAGAAAGACCACTCAAATTTGTACCAATCTTATAATTTATTTAAATATATTTCATTTTTAGATATATATGTATTTAACAGCCATTTGATAAATGCCAGCCACTTTAATTTCCGGTAGATAGGTGGATTCCTCTTATGCTTTGCTTTACAGTATATACATATTTCTCTTGTTTCATATGGCCAATAGTATGTACAATGAAACCTCGTGACAACTCAAAAATATAAATATAGACTTTACCACGCTCTACCAAGATCCACAGGAGGGCTGCAACTTACAACCACCACTTCCTTTTTTACCATGTCTTGCAAAGACCCAGAGAAATGCTCATGCAATGAATAATGTAATCACAAGTGTTTCTCAGTGTGAGCACAAATGGGATAAACTATGCTGATGCCGGGGGTCAGCGATTTCTCTGCGTAATAGGCAGTGCAGTAGAAGAGATGGGCTCGAACCCACAACACCCCTACAGAGCAAACGAAAAACAGATCATTTGGATTTTGCTCTTTTCTTAAAGAAATGACCAAAATAAAAATATGTAATCCCTTTTTGTTTTGTTTCAGCAACATCTTTTTGGATGTGGTTTAGTTGGCTGGTTGCCTCCCTCATGGTGGCACCCGACCATCGGGGCCCAGGCAGAGCGACGGGAAGCAATAATCCACTCCTTAGAAGTGCAGGTCTCTCTGAAGGGCATACTGTCCCTAATGTCAGTTGGGGCTGGTCAGAGAATTGTTAGCTTCCCTTTCACTGTCCAAGGCACTTTTTCACCCCACGTTTTCTTTTCTTGTGAAGAACTTGTGTTTTGGTTTCAACCTGCAATGTAGAGGAAGTGAAATGTAGCATTTTCTCCAACTTGGCAGTACTTAACAAAATATTTGATGTCCAAAAAAATTACAATAAATCAAGAAAACTAGCAGGCTGTACAGCACGCTTATCATTATTGAGATTTTCACACAGTGAGATTCAGCCATTATTTGCACAGGATTTAGTCTTAAAGTACTAAAACCTTATTTATTATTAGCTAAATATACTCAAAATCAATCATCTACTCTTACTTTAATACCATTTTAGAACTTTTACTTGTAGCAGCATTTTTTACTTAGTTGCAGTAAAACTAAGTCCAAATTTTCACATATGTTTTGATAATAATAAAGCGGCTAACGTCTATAAATACAAGTACAACACATGTAACCATGTTCTGTTGGAGGAAAGACACTACAGGCAAAAGCATGTTTTTTATTGCACTGGTGGTTTATGGGAATATGGGCTAATTTGCTTGATAAACAGCCTTTTTTCCATTTAGCGGAAAGAAATCATCTAAAATTTGCATTTACAGGTTTATTTTCCTAATTGTGGATGTAGATGTATCCTGAATTCACCAAGATTAACATAAGCTAATGCTCTTTTGCATAGTTAAACATAATATTTCAGAGAACTTGTAATACAAAACATACATTTCTAAATGTATATAACCAACTAGGTTCTAAAATGTTTACCTATAGTGTCTCCCTTTAGTTTAAAGCAGAATAACACATTTGTTTATATTAAAGGTGATATATACCTTGTGTGTGCTACCCCTCTGTGCACTGCCGGCTGCCAGCTAGTCTTGTGAGAAGCCGCGCACATCTTTTGAAGTCTGAGAGAAGAAGATGAAACAGAGTTTAAGCTGTTGACATATACATCGTGTTGACATTGGACTGACAAAGAGTCTTTCCTCGTTTTGTAAGGGCTTACATGCAGGTATCGTGCAGTCTCTGGTGTGGTGGTAGAGTCTGTACACGTGCTTCCTGCACTTTGGACCGAAGTAAAGCGGACCTGAAAAGAAAGACATGCAGCCTGTGAGAACATTTCCAACTCTCTGGGAACTGCAGTTACATCTGGTGTACAGCCATTACAGTTTGCAAGACTATCAATCACTCGTCTTGTATTTTTGCCTCAGCCAGTCCAATAACATTTATTTCACAAAATGCTGACTTTCTCATACTCTTGACAGGAAACTCGAGCACCAGTGACACACAAGTGGCCTCACCTGTTATATGTTTTAGGAATTTCTCCTTCTTTCTGAGATCTCTGGGGAATACGCCTGTGGAAGGAGAGAAGATAGGAAAGGAAGTGTTAGATTTAAACAAAAGTATTTCATTCATTGAAGCATATTTTCTAAAGGGTCATCCTTCACATCACCTAAAGTCTAAGTATCTTTTGCATAAATGTAAAACTTGGATATTTAGTTAGAGGCAAACACAAAGAGAAAATAATTGTAAAGCAGTTACTTTTGGTCTTTTCTTACAGCTAAATATCTGCATGGCTAAACATATTTGTTGTTATTATCCCTTGTTAGTTAGTTCCATCAGTGTACAATGACTTTGCAATAGGACTAATATTCCAGTAGGCTAGATCCTTCATTAGGCTACAGGCTACAGCATCCCCTTGAATCCACCATAGTCCCGCACAGGAGACACGCCGTCACTCACCGACAGTCTGATCCCCTCTGTCTGTTTTCAGTTTGCGTAAATCATTTTGTTCCACCGCAGGACTCCTCGCTGTTAACGGGGCTGCCGTTTTGGCACTGTGGCGACCCCGGTTGTCCTCCACGTGTTTCACGATCTCTACCATCCGCCTCCAGTCCTGCTGCGCGTCCCTGCCGCCTGTAGCCGACTCCAGTGCTGCCGAGGGCGCGCTCTCGCTGCTGTGGCCGGTCAGCGCGCACATCAGTAGCACCAATGCCATAGTTACGTGTTTACGCAGACCGCTCATAGCTTCCGTGGAGAGAGAAAAAAGTCAAGTCCTTCTCCAACGCCTGTGGGGAAAAAGTTGAACCGGAGACCTGCAAGAGAGATCAAGCATGAATGGCGAATCAAACTGCTTCTCAATGACCAAGTTACACTTTGGTGTGCTGACGGACAAGACTTAGCCACAAAGCTGTCCAAATGTTTTTCCTACTTAATTTGCATAAAATCACATGAATTTTGAACTCAGTTGACAAGTAAAACCATATCACGTAGATCACAATTGATGGAATTTGTCATTTTGTACTTTAATCCCAAAACTAGCCTTTATAATAAACATCCCACATCGTATTCTATCAACGTTTTTCGAAATTGTGCTACACTTTTTTAAAACATAGTTGTAAAGGTTATTCTGTAAACTCTATTCTGACCTTAAATCAGTAGAAATATGATGCATGTTTATTAGTAACCTTTACCGTTTGTCTTGGTTACTCTGTTGTTGCTTCACTGTTTTCTTACTTTTTATTTGGGAGTTCCCAGATTTGTTTAGCAAATACAGTTGTTTAGGCACAAGATCACATATGAGCAGGACATTAAAACAAACATGTTTATATTTAACCATGAGATGATAGAAATGTAATTACCTTCAGGCCGATAAAGCGTTTTCAAATAGGTTACTGGATGAATACGTTCCGTGTGTCCAACAATTATGAAAATAGAAATAATGAACTGTGCGCAACTTTAGGATCCTGTTCCTGTCCGGTCCGAAGTATGTCCCATTAGAGTCTTCTCTTCTGTATTTAAAAATGGAGCATCAGAAGTCATATGAGTATTCGCTGAGCGTCTGTGCCCATCCTCTAAACACCGGCCAACAGGGAGAGGGTTGACAAACCGCTGAAAGGTCCGGTGCTCAAGTCCTGGGTGCGTCCTCACTGAAGGAGCGGATCAGCTCACTTTTTATTCTGTCTCGCAGACGTCGTGAACTGTCCCCTGTGGGTTACTGCGCCGTGTCTGTGATAATAATAAGACACATAATTGGCACTCCTGAAGCGAAAAGTCCACTTGAGTTGACTGACCATCACTTGCACGCCGTGTGAAGTCCTCTGCGCACCCCTCCTTTCCGTTACTCCATTTATCTCTGCGATACGCACTTACAGGAAGCGTTTTTCCAACTAATACTTCCAATGAAATTTCCAATTAGCCCAGCACACAGCGCAGATACCGGCATCGAAAGTCTCCCATATATCCATGTGATTCTCATAACTTCATTTAGAGCCATTGCGCACTTTACATTATCTTGGGAATTGAAACACAATTACGCACCGTTTAGGGATGATTCTGAGAAAATTAATTACTCACGTTTTTAAAAGTTAGTGCACTATACTTTCTAGACAAAACAACTGACTACAGCATAGTTGAGGTTTAGCCTACACAAGGTTTCTCCACAAGTAGCCTACTGTGGTTGCTACAGCTTTCCTTAAGTCAGGGCGCGTATTTGGATCACACCCCCTCTACACCCCCTCTCAGTCTGACCAGTGAGGCTAGTTTACTCTATTATGAAAACACGTTGAATGAAATCAGCATGTTTCATGACTTTATGAAAATATAGTTCATACATTGCCACGGGGCAAAAAACAATGAAAATATGACTTTAAACTTTGTGGAAGTCATCCCGAAGTCACCCAACATACCCTTTGTGTTTGAGTGCTGGCTTTTATAATAACTATTTGCACAACACCTCCGTTTTTTCTCTGCTAAGTATACCTCCTGTGACCGTATGTGAATCCTTGGTGCTGAAAGGACAGCGCGCACTGTCACCCAGCTAACCCTCTCCTCCACACAGGGCACAGGCACTGCTCTGTGTATTCTCACAAGACATGAAGTGCCTCCCGGTATAAAGGCAGACAGGGTTCCTTGTCTAAACACTGAGCTGATTATATTTATTAACCAAAACGATGACAAAAAGAATGGATATTTGGTTCCCTGGTGAGTCACACCAAAATGATTAATCTTGTTTTTTGTAGTTGAGAGATTATGCATCCAACTTTTAGGAAGCGTAATGAGACATCCAATAACATTGATACGATCTGGGGTTTGAGAAGATGGTAATTCCATGAACAAGCTTTTAGACAGCAAATGTTACGTCATGCAGGTGAATTTAGATATGTATTGCACTCTTAAACCTGGAAACCAGTGTAATGACAGTTAGCATGGTGGATCTGACTTCTAACTTTCTTGCAGTTTTAAGAGAGAGGATCTAGCAAACAACAGTTATTAGACTATTTATAACAGTCAGGCATCCACTCATAAACTGTTCCAAATGGATAAAGTACACCTGCAGATATACCTCCAACACGGACTACTAGACTAACCTTATATACGTTTCTTATTCAAAACATTAAAATGTATCCATTTGCATTCACCTTAAAGCTGCTCTGCAATGCCCACTGATCCCATTATAATGTAACACTAGGTATATGGTTCAATACAAACAGCAAATATTCTATTATTCATCAGATAAAATATATATATACATAAATATTGAAATGTTAAAAAATCTGCAATTAAAAAGGCAGCAGTTTCAGCAGAGGGCGCCATTCTGCAATCACTGTTAAAATAATTCAAATGTTAATGTTATACAGTGGTGATAATAACAAACACTTACCCAGCATTTGGATGAATGACTTCCTAAATTCCTTTTTTCTTGTCACACACATTTTCATATACCCTGCACTGGGGAGCAGTGTAGGGGTCTGGTGCCTTGCTCAAGGGCACCTTGGCATCACCCATGCCATTAACTGGCACCTCTCAAAGTATCACAATCTACACCACAAATCGAAACTAAAGAAGAAAAAAATGACTTGTTTTAAATGACCGGTGATGAAAAAGCAGGGTTGAAGTGTCCATCATCAGTAATCTTGTAAATAGTCTGGCAAGCAGGTAAATTATGACAGAGGAATTGCTTTTTAATTCTGTGAGTTTTGGCAAAGTTCAGTGGTTTGCTTTCATTATTTTGACTGATGATAAGCATGTCTCTTGCAAACTGAAAAGTTTGACAATGTGAAGACAGCAATTAGGAGCAGGCGTTCAACCTTGTTGAACCTGCTTCTTATTATTTTTGCAATATGACCATGTCACATGTTGTCCAATATGTGTAACCCAATGATTCATGTCCATGCACTGCTATAAACGCTCTAATGTCTCATTTTCCTTTATTTTCTAAACTCCTAGTGATATTTTTCTTCTGCAAGACATTTTAATTATTTGTCAGGAGGATGTGGTTGTCTTCCCATAAACGTGCTTCTTTCTTCCTGGATTTCTTGTCCAAGTTATGAATTTCACTTCCTCCAGTCTTTGTCAGAGTGCGAGGTCTTGATGTTGGCCACAGCAAAAGGAACCGCTTCTGTAATCAAGGATGTTAAACATATTTTCATTCGTGAGGGTTACATAAACTGACGACATTGATGGCTGTAACCTTTAAAATCCTGGGCTGGAAACAACACATGTTAAATTGTGTTCAAATAGAATGTACTTTCATTTCCGGAAAGGAATGTGTGTTTCACAAAAAACTAAGCATGATTAACATGTGCAAGTAAGGCCCAGAAACATGTTCTCTTCCATCTTTCTTTTTTTTAGTATTTACCATGCTTTTTTCACACCCCATAAATACTTATCACTGTCCAGGCCCCCTTTGTATCCATGGGTTTTTGGGCATAGAGAATCCTCCTAATAAGATAATCTTTATGGCTCAGTCTATATATTTTCTCTCTATATTCATCTTTCCAGATTCTTTATGTCTCACTCCTAATACATTTAGCATATGGTTGGCTTTTACTTTGCTATAACTTGAGCGCAGTGTAGATTATAAATGATAACATAAATGATGTTGTGTATCAGTTCAGTCAGTTAGCACATGTATTGAATATGGACTTTTAAACCAGCCGTGAAAAGCTATATAGTTTATAGTTGGGTAAACGGGGGATATGATATTTGTAGTTGGCAAGGAGCTATGTACATTTTCTGTTAATCTGCATTTGGGTCCTGCTTGCCTCTCTCAACCCTGACAGAATGAACTAACCAAGGATGGGCCCAGCAGATCCTTTTGAGTTGGAATTACTCAGTTTTTCATTTTCTTTGGCTGGCTGTTCTGATAAGTGGAGGGGAGCGTCCGGAGTTCAGCAGCGAGAGGCTGCTCTGGCTGAGGTGCACCAGATGGCTATGGAGAAGCCAGGTTTAGTGAAATTCTTACCTGGCTGGATTTTGGACTTCCTCTCGGTGTGTGATTCCCGGCAAGCTAGCCCCAGGCATGCTAGCACCCTGCCTCCCAACTCCCAACCTGGCGCCGTACGCCTCGGTGTGTTCCGTCTGGAGTCGGCCTCTGCTTCTTCCCCAGTTCCTGCTCCTGTCCAGGAGCCATTCTCTGGAACTCGTCTGGCTTTTGGAGGTCCACGGAGCCTCCAAAAGGCTCTTAAGAGAAGGAGTCGCAGGTCCAAGCTAGCAGCCCAAGCCCCAGAAGCCATGCTTTGGGCTCCAGTACAGGCCCCAGCAGCCATGGTTCCAGCCCCAGTTCTGGCCCCAGCAGCCATTGTTCCGGCCCCAGTTCTGGCCCCAGCAGCCATGGTTCCGGCCCCAGCAGCCATGGTTCCGACCCCAGTTCTGGACCCAGCAACCATGGTTCCGGCCCCAGTTCTGGCCCCAGCAGCCATGGTTCCGGCCCCAGTTCTGGCCCCAGCAACCATGGTTCCGGCCCCAGCAGCCATGGTTCCGGCCCCAGCAGCCATGGTTCCGGCTCCAGTATAGACCCCATCTTTGAACTCTGCCTTGCCCCCGGGCCGTCCGTCCGAGACCCCATCCTTGAACTCTGCCTTGCCCCCGGGCCGTCCGCCCGAGTCCCCCTTTTTGAACTCTGCCTTGCCCCTGGGCCGTCCGCCCGAGACCCCATCCTTGATCTCTGCCTTGCCCCCGGGCCGTCCGCCCGAGACCCCTTCCGGGTCCTCCCTGATTACCCGATTGTGTTCACCTGGTGCCCCTTTGTTTTCTCCTCCCTCCTCACCTGTCTCTTGTTTGTTTGATTAGTCATGTGTGCATTTAGGTTCTGTGTTTTCTGTTAGTCTTTGTTAGTTCCTTGTTGTTGTTGGACTGTGTTCACTGGGAAGAGTTCTGTCTTTAAACCTAGAAATAAAGGTATTTTCTGTTAATCTGCATTTGGGTCCTGCTTGCTTCTCTCAACCCTGACAAAATCGTGCTGTAATATATACGCTTTTCAGCATACAATATTAATAAAAGTGAAGTACAGTGCATATATCCCTTTATATCCCTTCACAGAACTAAAGTATGCTTTTAAAAAAGGTTTAATGAGATGATGGAATCAAAGCTGAACTATATAAAAAGGCACACATGCTGAAAACCCAACCCCAGCAGGGGGGTCTGGGGGGATTCTCCCAAACTATGCATTCTGGCACACTCTGATAAGAAAATAAATAAATCTATTACTACCCGACATGTTAATAATATTTTATGCCATTGTTTGTTTTTCACTTTGTTCTGACATCTTGCTGCGAGAAGAGTAAAGAGGAAATAGTCTGTGTGACTTATTTTAAATTGTGGGTAAGGGTAGATAGCTCCCATTGTTCTGTGACCTGTCAATCATCAAACCGGGGGTCATATTCATTATGTGTTCATTTTTATCTGAAGTTGTACCCATGGATGTATAAAGAAGAGTTCTACCGCAAAGTTATTCTCCGTGGGGACTTCCGGCAACAATCTTGATTCTGATTGGCCAGAAGACTCGAAAAACATCAGCAAAGATATTTTATTGAGAAGATGATCACTACGTGACAGAAGTTTTCAAAACAGTTTATGGTCTCCGGTACTTCCAGTCCAACGCCGACTGCATGCACAGCGTTAGAAAATCAATCCTTCAAAATAAAAGTTTGACTTTTTACCCACCAGTTGAGAACCACTGCTTTAGGTGATACTATCAAACTCATAGGCGGAGTTTGACATTTGCGCTTGGGGGGTCAAACCTTTCTTACTGACGTCAGTACACAGTCCCAACTATTGCGTGGGGTGCTACGGATACAGTAGCAATAAAGCCAGCGTTCACCGCACTGAGTATGACTTTTCCACATATAAACACAACTCGTCCCGTCATGCACGCCTCATGCCCGCGTACACACACACTCATATGGAAGGGGCGGTCTCTCCCCCCAACAACAGTGCATTACAACTGTAAAACTTATCATAACTGTGCACATCTTATACTTATTTACTATATCCCTTGGTTACTTGAATACGCTACAATATTATTAACCAGTGTCCTACTTAGTGCAGAAGTAGACGCCTTAAACGTCCCAGAAATTTGACGTTTTAAAAATTGCCGCATATCTATTACTGCTAGTTATTGTAATACAATAGCTGAATCACTTGTATGCAAAAAAAAGCGAGGGAACTTGCGTCCT